TGTGTTTTTATTATTAGCATCGACCGCGCTAACCGGCTGACCAATGAAAAGACGTCAGTCTTAGTGCGGTTGAAAACACAAAACACTTCTATCTACCATGAACTGGGACCCCGTGAGGGGGCAGCATGGGGGAGGCTAAACTATCCTTCGGATTAAAAACAGAAACAGCAGCAACAGACGAAAAATGCACGCGTGTGTGTGCGTGCGGGTGCTGTGTGTGACAGGTGTTGTGCGTTGTTGAGAACATAGAGAGGGCGCGATGGCAAGAGAGAAGACCAGTTCGTCGCAGCAAATATTGATAGTGTAAAGCGGCGGCAGCTACGACAGAGTGGAGCTAGCAAAGCGCGCCGGTGGCATTACAGTAGAGATCGCATCGAACAATATACCCGACCATGCCTACCTTCTTGAGCTGCCAGTTGCAAATCGCCAGAGACTTTACAGCAGTTCCTGAGCCAAGCGTGAGCCACCAATTGGGCGGCGAAATGACAGTGGTGGAACTCGCGCTAAAACACAACGCACCGATACGCCCGTCCTGTCTCGTGGTTTATTCCTCGCATACCCTACAATACAGGGGGCGATGAACACAGAAGACGATGGTCGCCGCAGAAATCGGTTGTGCGAACACGATGGTTGCAGTGGCGGTGGATTCGGAACATCTTGGACACACTGTGGCACACTGCGGGAAATGGGATGACCGACCCTCGCGGTCAGATTGTCGGTGGTTCATTCGGCAAATGAGGCTGCGCCGATGGTTGAAGCGGCCTCATCATCTGTGCCGCCTGTGGAAGCGTCCGCAGCTGGTGTGGTGGTACAAACCGCAAAAGCAGCATGCGTGGCAACAATCGGCAGCGTTGGCAGCGGCAGGGGCGGAGCGTCAGTGGTGGGCGAGGAGGTTGAGGCTCAAAGAGGAGGGCAGCCATCAGAGTTGGTGGTAGACAACACATTGCCATCATCACCAGCGGCTGGCGAGGAAGCGGAGGAGCGGGCAGAAGTAAAGCAGACCCCTCCGCGAGCGCCTGCGGTAGACACAGTACAAGCAGCAGCAGCAGCGGCACCTGACTCGCGCAACAGCACTCTCGCCAGTGGCGGGAACAATACAAGCAGCACGCCTACGGCCGAGCCGGTGACCGCATCTCGGTCTGCGGTGGAAGCCGAGACAAGCGGCGGTGGGGGAGGGGGAAAGAGGGTCTGCGACGGCGGCGGTGGTTCGCGGATCAAGCTGCTTCTACCGGTAAGCAAAAAAGCAGGGTGGCAATTTTGTCTGTATTGACCTATCACGGAAATGTGGATGTGGCACTGAAGCATGTACGTTGCAATACACTTGATGCTGCACATACGGGTCCCACACGTATCCCTCGCACATCCTCTCAACGCATCCCCGGAGGTGTCGAGTTCATATTTGTTTCTTCTCGTGTCCTTCTCAATTATCTCCTATCAAACGACAGGTTCATTGGCTAACAAGCGGTGCCTAGGAGCCTTTAACATCACTAAGGAGATAGGTTTTGGTTTGCGTGTACACTTGAGCTGCAGCTGGCATCACTGGCCGGGATCAGATGGCCGAGATGGTTTTACTTTTGTACCGTTAGAAAAAGGGGGTGGCAATTTGGGGACCAGCGCCTGCACAACGCGTTATGCTATCTTCCCGCATTCAGTAGTCTGCCGGGTTGGAGCACAGTGGCGCTCTTCGGGAAATGTAGTTTCTGTGCATTCAGGGGCACCCGTCGTCACAGATGGTTGTCTGGTGATGGTGCGTTTCGGGGGGTCTCATCGCTGCAGAAACAGGGAGGGTGCCAGGTTCCCGTTTGTCTGCGATTTTTGCTGATCTAGATAAATTTCCTGCCTTTTGTCTGGGCTTTTCTCATTTTCGTGTTTGTCTGATTTTCTAACACATGGAAGGTGCGGATGAAGAGAGTATTGAGCAGAGATCGGGACCATTTATAATTTTGAGACATGAACAACGCCCCCAATGTCCCCGAACTACCAAGATGCCAAACCACCGATGACGGGGAGAACTATCGCCAAAGAAAATTGCCTAGAGTCTCGACCAAAACCAAATCGCTTCCAGTGTCAAGCTTGTCGCGCTCCCACAACCTCCTGGCCGGTTGTACGCCCTCTTTCCCCGCGGAGATGCGGTTCTAAGAACCAAGGCCTTCTTGACTACCAATTCGCGCTCAACAACACGACAGCGAGGCATGTCTATTAACAACGGTCGCAGCCGTCCGTCTTCTCGTCGACGGTGACGATCTGGGCGACGGCGGGCGTAGCTTCCAGCGCCTGTTCAATTTCCAGCGAGGAAGGCTAAGTTGTTTCAGTAGAGCCAATTGGGACCATTGATCGCCGCCGAAACTGAGGATGGTACAGCATCGGTTGGCTAGCGATGGCGCATTTCGGGGGGTGTGATCGCCGTCGAAACAGTTCGGGGTAAAGTGGTACAAGCGGTGCTGATCGTCAAGTTCATGCTACTTTTGGCGCGCTCCGGCTGGCCAAAAAACTCAGTTATTTGTCGGCCCAGCACTGCGCCCGCGGGGGCTTGCCGTGGAAAACAGGAGGGGGCGCATCTGGTGTCAACTGGTCTCACCTGGAGGTTTTCCTTCTGGCCTCGATCGATCGCAAACGTGGCGCAGCTTCTATCGCTTTTTCATTAGCTTCCTCCTTGCATCGCTCCCTCCCTTCCCGCGGAGTCTGGAAAACAAACAAGGGGTCGGGCGTTACACGGTGTTCGGCTTGTGGATGGTAGTACAGGAAAGAAAAAAAAATTACCTCTTCCGCAAACTTCCAACCATACCTTTTCTCTCCGGTTCTGTGCCTGATAAGCCCTTTTTCCCTCGCCTTGTTACAAGGGTGGTCAAAGTCCCGAGACAAGCCTGAAAAGCGGCGTCGTCGATCTTGTCTCGGTGGCTGGTCTCTCTCTCCCTCCCTCCCTCCATCGGGGGGCGCCGCCCGGGACCTTTGATCGCGAAGGGTTTAGGGTACATACGCCATTGAAACAGGGGCGGGCGATGGCGCGTCATGAGAGCAATATTTACGCGAAACTTGCGAGTAGGAACAGGTGTTTCCATGCACACAATACCACCATGGACACCAGATCGATCACCCGACAGCGCCAGGCGAAGAGGGCTCGCATTGGTCCTCCTATCTTCGATCACGCCACCGACAGCGACTGCGACGCGTACTTGAACATGGTGGTGAAACACGAGTTGGCAATGCTCGCAAGGAAACACGATCTCGAACTCGCGAAACAACGCGTCATGGCCGAATTGGACATCGTCATGACGTTGAAGGAGGCGTACGAAAAAGTTGGGTTGTACGAAACGAGGGAAATGGTTGGGCTTGCTGATATCATCACAGAGATTCAACGTCGCGCGTTTCCTCGCACCGACGGTTGATAGGCATTGTTGTGTGGTCGGACGGCAGTGGCGGGCTGGGTTGACGTTGCGATGTAAACTGTAACCATTCCTCCACTTTTTCTCAAGACCACCGCATCGCCGCCGGGTGGCTAGTGTGTACGCTTAANTTGACGTTGCGATGTAAACTGTAACCATTCCTCCACTTTTTCTCAAGACCACCGCATCGCCGCCGGGTGGCTAGTGTGTACGCTTAACTTGAGAGTTGGAAATCGTGCACGCGATGCTCACAACCAACAGGCGCCGCGTTCAACAGCACAAAGTAAAAATGCGCCTCGTGGAAAAATACAAAAAAAAAATCATGAACAACATCACGATCGACGCTTCCACGGGGGACATCGTGGTGAAAAGCATGATCAAATACATTTTGCACGAGGGCAAATTTTGAAAGCCGTGCACCGCATCCTCGACGGCTACGATGGCCCAAACAAGTCCACGCGTCTCATAAATGGCAGACAGATAGATGTCTCTTGCCACTCTGGTTGTGCTACGACATCCTTGAAAAAATGAGCGGTCCCAAGTGGCGCGAGGAGTCTGGCCAGGCGTTGAAACAGGCCATGCGCGAGCGTGTGGAAATTGTTCACCCCTCCAGCCAAACGCAGCAACCCCAGCCGAGGGAACAGCAGGCGGAAGAAAGCATGCAGTCGAGCAGGTTGAAACGAAAGCTTCTGTCCTGCAGAAAGCTCTACGGTCCATCGACATCAATCAAACGCTCTGTCAAGATCGACAAACTTACGGGCAAAGCTAGCACTATTGATGTGGTTCGGCTATGGTGTCCCGAGGCCTCTGGTGAATATGCTGCGCAATTGTTTACTCGTGTCCTCAATAAGGATGATCGTGTGACATCGATTGAGCCCCGTATCAAGAACATAAAAATTAATGGCTGTGGGCCATTACATCGGTTGCTGACTTTAACACCCTGGTGGAGGTTTTCTGGATGTTGCCAAATGGTGCCTCGAGAGCGCTCTGTCGTGAATCTGCGGAGACAGTGTTCCGTGCAATGAGAGGTGATCTCGGTCGTCAGATCGAGCAGAACAACCTGGTGTGGGGGTCTGTCGAAGGAGGAGAAGTACAAGGAAGACGGGGAGTCAACTAGGGTGTGACAACAGAATTGTAGTTGCTGTTTGTTGTGTAGTTGGCAGTGGTGGCGCAGTTTGGGTAGATACAACACAGAGTGATCATTAGATC